TTGGCGCTGGAGTCTGCCCAGGAAAGGTCGCTCATCCCGGTGTCGGTCGCCTCGTGAATCACTTGTGGGTTGCGAATTCTGCCATCGCGTCATTGATCGGGAGTAACCAAACGAGGTAGACTGCAGGAAGAGGTGGCGAGTCTCGAATGGGAATAAGAACGGGTAAAAGCGGGCTAGATCCTCACTCCAACTAGGGAGGCAGTTGCTAGCTACGATGAGAGGCTCCTCAAGTTGACGGTTGAGCTTCGCAGTAAGCTTCGTATTGACAAACTGCGAAAGCGGCTCCGCATTGAGTTTGATCTGCTCCTTGTTCGCCAGGAGAATGTCGTCGAGATGAGAATTCAATCCGTGAAGTATGCTGAGCAGCCTGAGAATACCAGATGTCACAGGATGCTCATCCAATGAAGCTGGCATACCTGAAGCGTCGGACTTTGACTCTGGAGGCGGTGTCAGAGAGCTCGATTCGCTCGGTGGCGGACCCTGCACCCGCTTGAACTTGATTGTATGAATGCCATTCCATACTGAGCGCAATGGGCCGTCTGATGGTTGAGATCGCGTGAAGTGTACAGCACGGTAGATGGTGGTCTCGTTCGAGAGTGGCTGGTCATTCACACTGAATTCAATATGCCAGTCTTGGGGAGTGGACTGAACAGCGGCAGCATAGGAAAGAGCGCTCGCAGCTCCTCCCAGGGTCTGGCGCATAGCCGAACTCTGCAACAGTGCAGACAATCGTGAAGCAGGAGTCCTGGCCTCTGAAGGTGGCTTCGCCATTGGTGTGCCCTGAACAGGTGTTGCAATCCTCGTACCATCTTCCTGGTGAGCCGTGGCTTTGCCTGTTGATGCGACTTCGACGCTTACGGCAGATGGATCCGGCATATCCTCGTCGAGGTCTTCCTCTAGATCATCCACTATGGCATTCAAGGCACTATCTTCATCCACAGATTCGGGGTCAGAGAGCTGAGATTCATCGGCACATTCGACAGGGTCCTGGCCGCTATTCGAACGAGGCATGGCTGGAGGCGGGGGCGGTGGTGGTAGCGGAGGGTTCTGCTGCTGACGTCTGCTCGACCGCCGTGTCTTCTCACGTGTAGCGGAGCTAGGCCCTGGTTGGGGCGAATCTGGTGGACCTGGTTTGGAATGTGATGGCTTCTTTGGAGCACGACTCGCTGGATCAGATGGTGTTCGAGGGGGTGGAGGCGCCCGACCTTCAGCAAGAGCTTGGGCGTACATGGCTTCGAACTGATCGCGAGCGAATTGGTCTCTAGGCTGAGCCGGTCGAGGACGGTCTGCGAGGCTGATACGAGGACGGAGGTAGTCATCCAAGGCTTTGAACGTTGCAATGGCGTGAATTGACACCATGATGTTGCGGTATGTCTTGGGAATACCCGAATCGTCATCAGCGACGAGCTTGAGCCGAAGTTGCTTAGCCAACATGGAGGTCGCGCTTCCTCGACTGTCATACATATTCTGATGCACAGTGATGACATCGAAATGCTCGGACCTACTCAGGAGGTCTTGAAGCTTGTGTACCAAGACACTGAATGGTGTTGCAGGAGACGCGGTGCTGGCAGTCTTGATTTTGCTCTGGCTGCTACCACCCATAAAAGCCTCTAGGAAGATTGGTCGAGGATCGGTATGCTTTGAAGACATTGGCTTTGAGAAGACTTCCAATAGCACATCGACAATCTTAGACGACTTGAGCTCGTAACTAGTTATACTTTCAAGCGCATCGCCCTCAAAGTAAGATGCCAACCGGGTGAACAGGTTCATGAAGTCGCTTGCAGTGCCCTTGCAACCACAAGCCTTGATTTCGTTGGCAAGCGTCTTCAGATCTTCCAACACTGCAATTGCTCTGTCGCGTGTGGGCTTGTCGCTATCCCTTTCGTGCGTCTCGATGAACTTCTTGGCGCGAAGGGTGATTATGTCTTCAACGTTGGGCATCGGTGGTGGTTCACGCTGATCGTCAGAGGACGAGGAAGAATCGGATTCATCGTCATCATCTCGGTTTTGGCTGCTCGCGTTTGGATCGTCGTCAAGGTCTACCTCGTCTCCTTCGTCATCAGAATGCATTTCCATGTCGACTCCATCATTCGGGTTGCCAGTTTCTGACTCGGCTTCTGGTTCGGCAGAAGAAGCAGTACTATCACCTGAAGCTGTCACATTAGCTCCCAGAGTAGACTTTGACTCTTTGGCCCGAGTGTCCAGTGTCTTACACGGACGATTTGCAAGTTGTTGGATTTCTGAAATGACACCTTCGCGGTAGAATTGATAGCGGTATATTGACTCGAGACGCTTGAGCAGCAGTTCGGCGGCTTGCAGAGCGTATGTGACTAGAGATGGGTGGTCTTGTTGAGTGAAAATCGACGCCAAATGCGAAGCATACGGTACTGGTCGCAGAGCCTCCTCGAGAATATCGATGTCGAGGTTGGACAACATCTTGAGATGAGCAGTAAGTACTTTTTGTCGAACGCTGAGGTTCACAGTACTGGAGTAGGCATCGGTCAGGGTGGGCAGAAGAATGACTGCGAAGCGCTTAACCTCGGCCTTGCACCCCTCAAGCAGCTGTATACGCTTTTCATTCATAGTCTTCTTGTTCGATGAAGAAAGGGGGAGAATGTCGTCACCGGGATAGCCAGCGTCGAAGAGGTCGTCGAGGTACGACAAGCCTTGCTGAGGAACATCGGGCAGAAGCTCGCAAATGACGTTAAGAGTCTCAAAGACCTGATCCTTGGGCCTATGGATAAGAGCTTGCATGATAACTACAGAGTCAATCTTGGCCGCAACGTCCTCTGTGCCCGTTGGAGGAGAGACGCCGGTGAGAATCTGATACAGAGTGTCCACAACATTCATCTTGAGCAACTCTGCAGATAGACGCGGGCTGGCTTTGGCGGTATACGCAAGAACCTGGAGGAACATGGTGTGGATGTTGGCCCCAATCATATTGGTGGTGCCTGGTAGAAGGAGCCGTAGAATGGCCTTTAGAAGGCCTGGGCTGACGAGTTCTTCAAGTTTACTCTCGTGCTGCTTGAAGCTTTGAACAATGCGAGATACGCAGATGCAGCCCTGCTCAACAACCTTTTGGTCGTTGTTGTTCAGGATGTTCTCTAGTATAGGCATGACGTCGCGCACGACTGGGAATGAATCTTCTGGGATATTGCGGCAGCAATTGGCAGCAGTCGTGACGGCTGTTCGCTGTGTGCTGGTGGCGAAGAAATCGAGAAATGTGAGACAGGCAGTAAGACCACCCTCACGCACAATAACTCCAGGAAATTCGATGGAGATCTTCTCCAATGTGCTCAAGCATTGTTCAGCTAGGTCAATGAAATTGATTTCGAGTAGCTTGGAGCAGAGGACGGGGACTGCACCACCGTAGACGACGTTGGCGGTAGCTTGGGGGAGTGCCTCCATCAAATTGGCGAGGCAGCGGCAGGCGAGCAACATGATTTCTGGATTCTCTTCCATTGTAAACTCATTGGGCTGCATAAGCTTTACAAGCTCCTTGACATATGCGTCGGGAGAAAAGTGGCCAGCCAAATTGTCTTCGGTAGAGATGAGGAGTACTTCGGAAAGCTCGTTGAGAGCCGTCAGTTGTACCGTATCGTCATGCGAACGCAATTGCTCCAGGATGCCACGCAGGCGCTGTGTGGTGCCCGCCATGATGCCTGTCAGCTGCCTAAGAGCAGAAAGGCTGTGGGGGTTGCGTCCAAGAAAGCCGCCAGTGAAGGGGTCGTCGTCGTCATCATCGTCATCATCGTCTTCTTGATCGTAGCGCTCCCCGTGTTCGTCAGCATGCTCATCGTCGCTGCTATGCTCATCGCCCGATTGACGGGCATCCTCTTCAGCGTTTACTGGAGGGGCGTCTTCCATGGTGGTATCGGTTTCCATCTTGTTGGATCTTCGGGAGCTTCGGCGGGATGTGGATGGCGTGTCGGGGTCGGGGTCGGTGTGGGAGGAAGGCTTGGGTTGCCGCCGAGAGCTATCAGGGCCGCTCTTGCGGCCGCCTCTGGTGCGTCTCGAGGGTTGTGGCGTCGACTTCTCGTCGATGGGATCTGATGGTGGGCTATTGGCAGTCAGCGCATACTCGTGGGTATCATAAGCGCTTGGCACAGACCCAGAAGAAGACATTGCGGCGGCGGCTTTGCCCTTTGCTTTGTTGGAGCGGGTTTTGGGCTGCTGGGGTGGGTCCTGCAGGTCAATCTTGGGGCGCTTGTTGCGGGCGGAACGGGCAGGCGGAGCGTCTGTGGTGTCGGGCTGCTCGGGGCTCTGGTCGTCGCGCGCAGCAGACTTCCTCTTACGAGCTGTTGGGGGCGGTGGTAGGGCTGGCTGAGGGGGTAGTGCAGGCAGCGAGTTGGGTGTACTGTTTGTGTGGGGATTGCCTGATTGGCGCCTTTGCGAGCGAGTGACTCTGGACGACATGAGAATCTGACTTTAGGCTTGTGCAATCGAGACGTGCTCGGACAGGGTGGCGCCGGTGGGATGCAGCAAGTTGCGTGTCGGCAAAGCACAATGAGACGAGGCTGAAGCGCCCGCAGCAGGAGATGAAGGTGGATGGTGAAAGTGGAGAAGAGCTGGGAGGGCCCCGGGTCGAGCAAAGCGAACGGTATTTACCTTTGACGAGGTCCTCTGGATGCCATCAAGAACGCGCCATGAGGCGGGTGCTCGAGCGAGTGCGGTGAGTGCAAACACACAAGGGCACGGGTTGGCGGGGTGAAGGGGAGTGGCAGAAGGGGTCCAGCGAGAGCAGGTGAGCAGATGCTCTAGTGGGATGGTGATGGGTATAGAAAGAGATGTGGTAATGCTGCAATGAGTGCTGCGAAGGCTTGAGGTTCCATATCCTCCATGCCAGGTCGGCGGAGCTAGTTACGTGACCTGACTAGCGGCCGCCGTTATCGATAGCGACCCGGCCACCTGCCTGCACTGCACTCTACTGTACTGTGACTGCACTGGCTGTGTTGGGTTGGGACGGCGCTGCCAGTGCTTGCTTTTGCAGTTGTCGCTATATGAATTCTTTTTGTTGTTTCCCGATACCATTTTTCCATGAAACTCAAGCAATTTCCCTTCCTCTGCCTTTCTCTCTCTCTCTCGCCTCTGCCATAAGCCCAGCCGCAACTACCTTTGTGCGGGTCGTGCGCATACATTCACTCATTCATCCCCGCCATCGGGATACTGTCTGTCCTCCCTCCTGACTACGTAGCCCGCTCGCACGCGGCGGGACAAGAATACTACAAGCGTTATCGTTGAGTCAGGCCAAGGTTCCAGGTCCAATCCGACATGGCGTGCTCTTCCACGGCCGGGTTGCAGCCAGCAGCCAGCAGCTAGATCAGGCTGCTTGTTCAGCATTCCCACTGCTACGGTCCGTCTGTGCCTGCTGATTCCGCGACAAGCCACAGTGCTTGTGGGGTCGCCCAAATGCCGACATCGCTCACGTGAAGCACTCCCACATGACTAAGCACGCGGTACACTGTACATATTGCCAGGAATGTAGTACATATAGCCATGTATCTGCAGCATAGGATGCAGACGTGGGCTGCATGTCGGCGCATGCTTGGGGGGGCGCGAAAAAAAAAGTGTTTCATGCACCGTGGGCCATACAAGTAGTTCGCAGCCACGGGGTCCACGGCCAGATCGGCGGTGGCAGTGGCACGGATAGAGTAATTGCGAGCGCAAATGCAAAAGACATCGATAGCCCCGCCGCCCGCCCGCCCGCGCGAAACAGAGTCTCAACCGCTGCCGCCTGGCCTGTCCGAGGATACAACATGGCTGCTCCTGATCTTCATCCGCTCTCGCCCGCTTCCACGCCCCCATTACTCCCACAAGATCCACCTTTTTCCCAAACTCAAACACGCTCGCATCCGCCTCCCCAAACCGCCCTCGGTTTCGCCCCACGCTTGCACTTTGCGACCCTCGGGTCTCGCCTCAACAGCCCCGCGTCATAACAGACCCCTACCCGCGTGCTTCTCACTACCGCCTAGCCCGCCGGTAGGCTACCGGACAACCCCGTTCATCCCAGCATTCGTAAGCCTTTCACTCATAAATGTCTCTTCCCCACCGCCAATTGACCCTTCTCCTCAGTCCAAACTCCCAAACAAGTCCCGACCCCTCGCCGCAACCACACGCCCTTGCCCCCCACACGCTCGGCCACTGATCTGGCCGCCTCACAAATCGCGACCATGGCCTCGACTACTAATCGCGATATCCTGCTCGACGCCGGAGTGCCCAACGCCGAAGCCATGTCGCTCGACAACTACACGTTTCCCAAGGAGAGGCTGAAGAAGACCCTTTCCAACCCTAACAAGCAGCCGCTAGTGCTAGTATCATGTGGCTCCTTCTCCCCGCCAACCAATCTCCATCTGCGCATGTTCGAAGAAGCGGCTGATTACTGCGAATTTGAAACCGATTTTGAAGTCGTCGGCGGCTTCTTCAGTCCCGTCGGTGATGCATACAAGAAGGCCGGCCTGGCCTCTGCACAGCACAGAATCAACATGACCAGGATTGCTGTCAAAGACAGCTCGACCTGGATCGGTGTTGACCCTTGGGAGCCGCTGCACAAGGAATACCTCCCCACCGTCAAGGTCCTTGACCACTTTGACTATGAGCTCAACGAAGTCATGGGAGGCATCACGACTGAAAGTGGCGAGAAGCGCCGCATCCATGTCGCCTTGCTCGCCGGTGCTGACCTAATCCAGACCATGAGCACCCCGGGACTGTGGGCTCGTGAGGATCTGAGCAGGATCTTGGGCCACTATGGCGCCTTTATCCTCGAACGCAGCGGCACAGATATTGGTAGGCCATTCCCAGCTCGCTTGTCTTGCAAATTCTGACTCAAAGCCAAACAGACGATGCCCTTGTTCAACTACAGCAGTGGAGACACAACATCCGCGTCATCCCGCAACTCATCCAGAACGATGTCTCATCGACCAAGATCCGCTTGTTCCGCAAGCGCGGTAAGAGCATCCGTTACTACATTCCCGACAAGGTGGTCGACTACATCTACGAGCATGGCCTCTACAGCGATGATGACAAGAAGACTGCCGACAAGGGCAAAGCGCCCGCCGCTGCGGATGCTGCTGGTTCCTCACAGGGCGTGACTGCTTCGTGAGCGTCTACCTCCGATCCACGATCTTTTTTTTGATACGTCCCACGCAGCGAGAGCTGCCATCCACTTCCTCTTCCGAAAGGACTGCCGCGCTGTATGCTGCCATGAACGCCGGTTGGCTACTTCGTATTGCGCAACGCACCGGCTTATCAGTTCTATACAAGAAGTGCCATCGTTGCACCGTCACTACCACCCGTCGACCAACTTGCTAGAGAGGCACGGGTGTGCCTTCGCGGGCTTTATTGGCGGATAGGAAAAAGACGTATCCGCCATGGCGCATTTCTTTTGTATTTTTCACGCTATGATACCACACACACACACACATACATATACATACATACATACTCAATACACTATGATGATTTTTACACACGGCTTAGTGGGGGTCCAGGGGTCGCTCCCACGTGCTGTGATGTCATGTTAGAGAGGTGGACGGGTGGCTGAGCGGATCTACCTGCCCTGTCCTGTTGATGCAGGGCCTGGTCGTCTTTTGTACCCGACAAGATGCACGCTCCAGCGGTGTGCGGCACTTGTCGAATGACGTATTGTCGTGGCTCAGAGGGCTGTCTGCACGGCTTAGGTTTTGACCGCTTGCGTTTTAGACTGGTTGGCACGCATGCAACTTTGTTAGGGACACGGCGGCACAATAAGATGTGTGCTAGCAGGAGAGACCGAGTACGAGCTGACGAATGTGCAACCGCAGCATGTCTGCTTTGTTGACGCCGCGCAACAAATCACATCGTAAACTTGGTCTGAATCAAAGTTTGCCGCGCTTCCAAGATGGCATTCCAAGCAGTTTCCACGGCCCAGCGGCTCGGCCACGTCAGGTAAGCCATCAACACCAATCACCCCAGCAACCACCTTAACATCCCAGCAAGCTTGAATTCCTGCATGTGGCCAGCCGCCATTGTACATATTCGCTACCATTGCGCAGGCCCCTGATAGTTTGAGAACCAGTTCGAGTCCTTCACTCGTGTCGTGATTTCTCCGTCTCGGCGTATTTCTTTTTTTGTCATGTTCAAGCTTGTATGAAGTGCTTTGCAACCCCCACGATCCTACACCGCGCTTTCGCATTCCCAACCCACAGGAGCTGCTTGCAGCCAACAACTCTCCTCCAATGAGTGACCGCGACCGCGACCCCTCGCGCAGACGGCCCCATGGCGACGAGCGAAGACGACGCAGAGAATCGCACGGCGATGTAGATCCTGAAAGACGCAAACGGAGAGAGTCACAGGGCGAGCGCGCAGCACAAGACGCAGAGGGGCGGCGAAGAAAAGGCCACCGAGCTACCGACTCCCAAGGCGACGTGCTACCACGGCCTCAGCGCCGCTCAAGACAACAGAGCGATACCGAATACGAGTCGTCAGCTCCCCGTAAAGCGCGGGGCTCGCGACGCAACTCCAAGACGGATGGAAGCGGCAGCGGCAGCCGAGGCTCTGCGCCCTTGAGCTTGGATGCTCTCGCAAAGCTCGACAAGACCAATGCCAAAAAGTCGAGTGGCTGGGGAACCTACGACTATGATGAGGACTACTTGAAGGAAGTCCGAAGAAAGGAGAAAAAACTCGAACAGGAGAGGTTAAAGGAGGAGCGTGCAGAAAAGAGAAGGGAGCAGAAAGAGGAAGAGGCCAGGCGACGCGCTGCCGAGAGCGATGCCGCCATCCACGAAGAAAAGGCAAGAAAGCGGCGCGAAGAGCGACGGAAAGCAGCTGAGCTGAAGGCCAGTCAGACCGAGGACGAGCTCGAGCGGAAGCGGGGTTCCCGCACTGATGACGAGAGAGAGGAGCGGAGACGACGACGTGAATCCAAGTACACTGCCTCGGAAGCTGAAGAGAGAAGGGATCGAAGGAGGCAGGAGAAGCAGCACAGGACCGAGCAGAAAAAGCGGCGTGTCGTCAGTGGTCCATTGGCAGAAGAGGGAGGCATTGATGACGATTCAGAATACCGCTACATGATGGAGAAGCGTGGAGGCGGTGCGCCGACAGTCTACTCTGAGGAGGAGCTCGCAAGGAAGAAGAAGCGGAAGCGCATACTGATCGGCGTACTGTCTGTCATACTTTTGCTGGCCATCATCATACCCGTGGGGGTAGTCCTTTCTGGCAAGAGCAGTAGCCCCGCCAACACAGGAAGCGGATCCGCAGCTGGCTCGTCATCTGGGCCATCCACCAGCAACCTCGCTGGCAAAGATCGAAACAGCGTGCCTGAACAGGATCGGGGTGGTATACTGGACCCGTGGTCCTGGCTAGATACTCAAGACTTCAATGTCACCTACACGAATGAACTTGTAGGAGGTCTCCCCATTATCGGACTCAATTCGACATGGAACGACGACGTTCAAGCCAACCCATCCGTACCAAAGCTGTCGGACAAGTTCGAATATGGCAAGATGCCGATTCGCGGCGTCAACGTTGGTGGATGGCTTAACCTCGAGCCTTTTATCACACCATCCTTCTTTTCGCAGTTTGGATCAAAGGATAATGTAGTGGACGAATGGACGTTTCTTAGTAAGCTGGGGCCCGGCAAAGCCAAATCGACACTGGAGAAGCACTACGCTACCTTTATCACCAAACAGACGTTTGCTGAGATCCGAGCAGCTGGCATGGACCATGTCCGTTTTCCGTTCGGTTACTGGATGGTCCAAACCTACGATGACGATGTATACGTACCGCAGGTGTCATGGCGTTACCTCCTCCGCGGCATTGAATACTGCCGACAAAACGGCCTTCGCGTAAACCTCGATCTCCACGGCGCGCCCGGCAGTCAGAACGGATGGAATCATTCTGGCCGTCAGGGCGCGATCGGCTGGCTCAACGGCACCGATGGCGACAAGAATGGCGAACGCAGTCTGGAAGTCCACCACAAGCTCTCCGTCTTCTTCGCCCAAGAGCGCTACAAGAATCTCGTAACAATGTACGGTCTCGTCAACGAGCCCCGCATGGTCGAACTCGACACACAAAAAGTCCTCGCCTGGACGCAAAAAGCCATTGACCAAATCCGCGCCGACGGCATAACCGCCATCATCATCTTCGGCGACGGCTTCATGGGCCTCGACAACTGGCAAGGCAAACTCCAAGGCAACAAAGACCTCCTCCTCGACGTCCACCAATACGTCATCTTCAACACCGACCAGCTAAAACTCAAACACCGCGACAAGCTCAACTTCGCCTGCGAGGGCTGGACCCAGCAATCCAAACGCAGCATGAACACAAAGACGGGTTTCGGCCCCACAATGTGCGGCGAGTGGTCCCAAGCAGACACAGATTGCACACAATACATCAACAACGTAGGCACCGGTTCCCGCTGGGAAGGCACCCTCCAACCCACGGACAAAACCAGCGCAGTCCTCGCTCCCCAATGCCCTTTACAATCCTCCGAATGCTCGTGCAAACAAGCAAACGCAGACCCTTCTTCTTACTCTTCCGAATACAAAAAATGGCTCTACCAGTTCGCCATTGGCCAAATGGATGCTTTCGAAGCGGGCTGGGGCTGGTTCTACTGGACTTGGGAGACGGAAAGTAGTACACAGTGGAGTTATCGCCGTGGACGCGAGGCCGGTATCTTGCCCGATAAGGCGTACGATCGTGATTGGAAGTGTCCTGGTGGTGGAGTTCAGAATTTGGATTCTTTTGATGGGTTGGCGGAGAATTATCGGCGGGGGGTGGGGGTTAATGGGAGTGTTGAGGCGTGGTAAGTGAGAGGAGTTTTTTTTCTTCTTCTTCTTTTTTTTTGGGGGGGGGTGGGAGTTAAAGGGATGATGCGAGTAATGTTGTGATGTGAATGAAGTATATGAGGAGCTGGTTGGTTGGTGAATAAGGCGTTTTTCTTTTTTGGAAACTCTTTTTGTGCGTACTTTTTTAGCATTGTTATGGGAGATGATGCTGTATATACGAATCGTACTACGTTTGAAATGAACTTATTGTGCTACCAACCTCCCTCCCTTTTCCCCTCTTGTTTTTTTTTTCGAGCCGTCGCTATATCCTTTCTGATATATGTGGTTATTGAAATTTTCATTCTCCATATTGATAATTCTAATCTTACATGAATACCGCCACTTCACCCCGTGTTCTTTGTCCATGTGTGTTCAGAATAATCTATTCGTACAAAATTTCTTCATTGTCAGAAAAGGTCAACCCAAATCAATTCCCAAAAAAACGACCATTCGTAATTCCCATTACCTTAGCGCACAAAAAAAAAAAGCGATCGTATACA